GATGAGTGAGTCTTGATGAGTGAGTCTGAGTGATGAGTGAGTGGGGAATCAAAAACCCCATCTTTGGATATGGGGAATCAAGAACCCCATCTTAGGATATGGGGAATTATTCACTGCGTGGAGCTCCCCATATGTGCATCTATTCGCATGGACCTGTCCGCCGTGAATGTCTAGGCGCAAGAGCTTTCGAATATAAACGGGCTTCAGTTGTGACGGTCTGGACATAAATCTAACTGCGAATGAATTGGAGTGTGAATGAGCCTCAGTAGTACGAGCGCGTCTCTGTGCATGAGCCTGGGGCCTCCTGGGGCCTCCTGAAACCTACTGGGGCTTCCTGGGGTCTCCAGGAGCCTCTTGGGGCCTCCTGGGACCTCCTAGGGAGGTTTCGTGCCCCAGGACAGGCGCAATATATAGCAACAGACGCACGCAATCTATAGGAACACGCGTAAAACACCAACGACTCGTGCCCCAGGAGAGGCCCAATGTATAGGAACATGAAGAAAACCTGTAGGATTGTGCACACAGGAGAAGGACAATCTATGGAAACATACGTATAACATCAAAGAATCGTGCTCCAGGTGAGGCCCAATCGATAGGAGGATACGTAAAACAAATGGGATTGGAGCCACTCCTGTTGCCTTCTGAGGCCTCCTGCTCCTGGGGCCTCTCGGGGCCTCCTGTTGCCTTCCGAGGCCTCCTGGCGCTTCCTGTTGCCTCCTGGGGCCTCCTGTGGTTTCCTGAGGCCTTCTGGAGCTTCCTGGGGCCTCCTGGAGCCTCTTGGGACATCCTGTGGCCTCTTGAATCTTTCTGTGGCCTCCTGATGCCTCCTGGGACCTCATGTGGTCTCCTGGGGCCTCCTGGAGCCTGTTGGAGCCTCCTGTGGCATCCTGAGAAGAATCTGCGCCCACGAGCCTGGCCACCAAAACAAGCAAACCGATCGAGACATCCTCAAAATCTGGCCCACCTGGGGGGTGAAAATGAGCGCCTCGCTCGAGACATCCTCCAAATCTGCTCCGAAAGCGAAGGATGCTGGCACAGAAAACAGGCAAACCGCTCGAGACATCCCCACAAAATTCCGCGAACGGGACCCCGTGAAATACCCCCCCGCCGCCCCCCTTAGAGTGCTGAGACGAGCGAATCGCCTGAGACATCCTCCAAATCTGCTCCGAAAACGAAACATGTTGGATCAGAAAATGGCCAAACCGCCTGAGACATCCCCACAAAATTCCGCGAACGGGACCCCGTGAAATACCCCCCCGCCGCCCCCCTTAGATTGCTGAGACGAGCGAATCGCCTGAGTCTGAGTGATGACTGAGTCTGAGTGATGAGAGAGCATGAGTGAGTCTGAGTGATGAGTGAATCTGAGTGGTGAGTCTGAGTGATGAGTGGTGTGTCTGAGTGAGGACTGAGTCTGAGTGATGAGTGAGTCTTGATGAGTGAGTCTGAGTGATGAGTGAGTGGGGAATCAAAAACCCCATCTTTGGATATGGGGAATCAAGAACCCCATCTTAGGATATGGGGAATAACTTATGTGTGTGTGTGTCTGAGTGATGGGTGTGGTGTTCTGTCCTGTTCTGTGTCCTTCCGGCGCGGTCCGCCAATAACCAGAACCCCATTTTTGGATATGGGGAATAACTTACGTGTGTGTCTGAGTGATGGGTGTGGTGTTGTGTCCTGTTATGTGTCCTTCCGGCGCGGTCCGCCATTAACAAGAACCCCATCTTTGGATATGGGGAAAAACGATCCGCAAGCGCGTTGCTGGCGGCGAATGTCGACGCGCATGCGTTGCCGCCCTGACCCCGCGCCCCCATCGAGAAAACAACGCCTTTTAAACTGCTGCCAGAACTGCCGCGTTCGACGCAGCTTGCCCTTCAAGTGCCCTCGCGCGGCTTCCTCCTCTTCCGTGGTTCCCGACAGCCCCCCCCCCCGCTCAATCTCCCTCTCGTGGAAAGCAATGTGCTCGAGCTGCAACTGGCCAGCATGCCGGCGTGACCCCGTCGAGTTCCGCGCGGACCATCCGCCCCTCGTCAAGGAACCGCAGCGCGGGGGGATAGACAGCGAACGCGCGTGCACATAGTATGAATTGCCCAAGCCGTACCCCCCTGATTGCCCCCATAATCCAATGGCGCCGTTCTCGGGGGCCCTTTGCAGGCCGCCTGCGCACCGCCTCCCTGGGCCCAACTACGAGCTCCCCCTGACGTCTCAGCTAATGGGGGCCGCGTGGTCGGTGGTAGATGATTCGGATCATTCGGAGTGGCAGCAAACATGTCCGACGCAGCCTGGCGACGCTCGTCCGTGCGGCGCGGCCACGCAAGGATGCAGCGACACTTCCCTGGGTTGAGTGCCTCCAGAACGACGACCAGCGGCCCATGATCTGACGGGCAATGTTGAAGTGAGCCGTAGACCGAGGCATGCACAGTCACATCCACAATCGCCGCTGGCGGCGCATCTGAATACACCCTGTCCAGCCCAACTGCGCGTCGGGCCGCGCGGCCAGCGCTCCGCCCCAGCTGCGTCGGCTCATGCCGCGCGTGCCCAGGCCAGTCAGCGCGCACCAAAATCGAAGAGAACGCGACGAACGCAACCCCCCATCACTCCACCGCTGCCCATCTTCAGCCATTCCCCCTTCCCCCTGCAAGGCGAAGCGCCAGTCCCCGACAATCCAGTTGCGAGAGCGGGCGCCACGCGGCAAACTGTCGCGGACCCTGCGCAAACAGGCAGCGTAGATTGGCGCACCCAAGTTCGCATTGGGCATATGGCAGCTCGCAGTTGTAATCGACCCCTTCCTTCTCTCCATCCTCGTGGCAATGGCCCCCCCGTCCACCAGAATCTGATGTGCAATAGTTGTGAAGTCTCTCCTGAGGCGCTCACTGATGATGGCGACAACTCCCCCTGCCGCATTGTTCTCTAGAAAGCTGGCCCCTATCGCCACGGGTTCCAAGCGATGACACATTGCGACCGCATCGCCCACATTTCCGTGACACTCTTGCAGACGCACATCATCATATCTGGCATATGGACCCAGTATTTCCGTGCGCAAGTAGAACTCCCACCTCGAATCCCCCCATTAAGCCCACTAGTGTTCCGAGTGCACGCCGCCACAGAGAAGGGTGGACTATACGAGACACCTCTGGCCTCAGGGAAAACGCTAGGCCGCCCAATGAGGCCCGCCAAAGGAAAGAGCCGAAGGCCAATATTCCGAAACGAAACCTGCAGTGAGTCAGCTGAAGCCCCGGAGGGTTCCAGGGGTGGCGAGCCAGCGGCAGGGGGAGAAGTTAACCCATCAGCAGACCCCGCCGTCAGTCCGCTATCTAAGAAAGCACTACGCGAAGCAACGGCAGTGTGGACGCGCCGATTGAGCCTGCCGCCTCCGCCTACATCTTCGCCTGCGTCTCTGACCGACAGTCAACGCCGCACGAGAACGAGCCAAAAGGGCGCAGAGAGGGCCGCTTGCACCGCAGGAATCGCCCCCTGGATGCCAGAGCTGCCGAAGCCCCGCTCATGGATCGTATTTTGCACCTCCTCGCCCTCAAGCTTGAGCTGCACAGACGTCGTCGGGCACTCCGCTTTGAGCAGCGCATATATGGTCCTTCCGAACCCGTTCGAGCTGCATTCGTACCTGCCCCCCAGGGCCTCGCTGGTCACTTTGCAGACTCGGCCCATGACAAAGAAGAGCGTCCTCCCTTGCTGGCTGATGTCCCGCTTTAGACCCAACGTGCCCTGCGCCTCCGTGTCTATCGGGCTCTGGAAGCGAAACTCACCCAATGTGCGAAACTTCGCGATGAAGTCCCAGACACGAATCAACCGGCACACGCCATCCTGCTCCGTGGTAGAACCACTAGCAGAAGCTGAGCCTCGCCTGGGTGGCCGACCTTTCGCCCCCGTCATCTCCTTCAACTTCTTCTCGACTGCGTCGACCTTCTCCTGGACACCTGTGGTCGGCACTGTCGCCTTTTGGTCGTCAAGCTGCACTTGGATACCTCCAACTCCGTATTCATGATGCACTCGATCGCCGTCTGCACCGCCTCGGTAAAGCACCCCCTGCTGCATGTGCTCCAGCGTCTGGAGCCTGCTCCCCATCAGATGAATGTTGTTGTGTTGCACTTCCATGGTTGGCCGCATCGCGCCGATCTGCGTGGCCATGGTCATTTCCATCTGCCCTGGCCTCGTGCTGTTCTGCATGCTGTTCGTGGTCAGCCGCGTCATCCACTCAGGCGCGGAGTCTGGCGCACGTGTCTGATCTGTTTTGTCACTCGTCGACGGTGTAGATGCCAACCTGGATCGTGAGATAGAACGTGTCCCTCGGCGCCTGCTGTTAGAACTACCTGACGATGCAGAATACGAGCTATCACGATGACGGCGCTCACGTCGCGTGACACTGAACACTGAAAAAGGCTCTCGCCCACGTCGTGCCTCACCCTTCCCAGCCTTCCTGACATCTCTGCGCCCCATCGTTGCCAAGAAGTGGTGTGCAGGCGAAGAGTGGTGCCAGCTGGGTGGACTTCTGGCGATCCTTGAAGTTGCACAGTGCTGAGAGCCAGCCCTGAAGGCAGGCAGCCTTAGCCGAGACCTGTCGGCTGCGAACAAGCTCAAGCCGCCGAGGTCCCGCGGTTTGAACTTGAGCCAAAACGGCTCGAGCCAAAATGGCTACGGTATGTCGATGGAGATTTTTTGTGGGGAGGTCCGTCCGTAGGTACTCGACCAATGCGCAGAACTGCGGTGGAAGAGGGGGGGCCGGGGAAGGCGCGAAGCGGAAGACGTGGGGGATGAACCAACAGGATGGAAATGTAGGAGGACGGGGAAGGGGAGGAACTGGAAGAGGGGGGGAGAGGATGAGGGGAAGACGAACAAAAGCACATGGAGAACGAGAGGAACGAGGGGTTGATCGGGGGAGGCGGAAGAAGGGGAGAGACCAGCTCCTCCACCTGCGTTGACCGCCCTCCACGTTGGAGGAACCGGATACCGAACGTCGCCGCAGGCTTCAGTTGCCCCCCGGACGCCTTTGTGGCGTCCCCACAGCAATACGAGCTCAGGACGGCCGCCCCGCCACGGTGTTGCCGCATGAAGCCGCTCACGTCGTACGTGACCTCACAACCATCGTCGTCGTTGTCGCCAGCGTCGACCTCGCAGCCGTCTTCGTCGGGGAAGGAAACAGAAAAGAGAAACCATGGTACAAAACAACATTCCTTTTTAAGGCTGCTGACACTTCGTTGCCCGCGTACCAGTCAACACGTATACCCTAAACCCTGGATGCCCGCCCTCACAATTTTTAATCGCACCCTGTTGGGCGTATACCTTCCTTGCCTGCCACGCGTAGTTAGCACGTTCTCTTAAATAGCAAAAATCCGTCGACACAACCGGCGTGTGTGAGAGGCTCTTCGACGAGAGTCCAACCCAACCCAAACTGAAGCACGCCGGCCTCCTTTGAATCGTCGTCGTGAGGGAGATCGAACAAATGAAGGGGATCGAACAATGTCGCACATACGCCGGAGGACGCCCCTTCCCTTCGCTCCTTCCCCGCTGGGGGGGGCGGGCCCAGGGGGGGGGGTGCCCGGGGGCGTCCGAAACTCATTTGAACCGACTGGTACCAATCCGAGCCAACTGGTACGAATTCCATTCGGCCAAATGGTGAGGTGATGCTCGAATATCCCAATCACCAACAATCTGCTTATGTGTGCACATGTATACTGTAAGGATGTTAAGGCTTCAGGGTGAAAGGCACCAAGGGCAGAAAGTTTTCAGTGCTTAAAAGATTAAAGGTTTTGATGCTGTAAGCGTTTACAGGCTTAACGGATGATGAGTGTACGGGCCCGCGGGCTTAGGGGATCAGTTAAAGGTTAGGCATTCTAGGGCTTACTGTCTTCAGGGCTCAGAGCTTTAAAAGGTAACAGGATTGCGATGGTTTTAGTGTGCAAGGGTGCAGAGGCTTCTAGGGTTCTTAGAAGCCTAGGGAACGAAGGGTTTGAGGGCACAACAACTCAAGGGTTTCAGGTCTCGCGGGTGCAAGGGCTGAAAGGGTTCAAGGGCTTAAAGGGCTAAGGGCTTAAGAGTTTAAGCGCTCAAAAGGCTCAGGGATTTAACGGTTCAAGGGTTCAAGGGTTTGAGGGTTAAGAGGGTCAAGGGCTTGATAGCTTGAGGGGGGGAGCTGGCGAGTGACGGGGGATGGGAAGGGGGAAGGAGAGGGGGCGGGGAAGGGATAGCGGAGAAGGAGGTGGAGGAAGAGGAGGTGGGAGAGGAGGAGGAGGAGGAGGAGGAGGAGGATGAGGAGGAAAGGGAGGGGGAGGACGACGACGACGACAGGAGGAGGACGACGACGACGAGAAGCGTGCGCTGTTCGCGTGAAAACGCGTCGCGCGAAAACTGCGGCCTTTCGAAAGAAATCCTTTCGGCGCGTGCGCGCGAAAAGGGATGAACCGCTGCGCGTTCTTCCCTGATCCTCTTCGTGGCCCCCTCTTCTCCGTTATCCCCCTCGGCATCTCTTTTCTGCTCCTCCTCCTGCTCCCTCCTCCTGTTTCTCCTCCTCCTCCGCCCTCTTCCTCCTCCTCCTCCTCCTACTCCTCCTCCTCCTCCTCCTCCTCCTCCTCCTCATCCTCCCCTCCTCCTCCCTTCCTCCTCCTCTCCTCTCTCCTCCCTCCCTCCCTCCTCCTCCGCCTCCCTCCTCCTCCTCCTCCGCCTCCCCCCGCCTCCTCCCTCCTCCTCCTCCCCTCCTCCTCCTCCTCCTCCTCCTCCCCTCCTCCTCCTCCTCCTCCTCCTCATCATTCTCCTCTCCCCCTGCTCCTCCTCCCCCTCCTCCTCCTCCTCCCCCTCCTCCTCCTGCTCCTGCTCCTGCTCCTGCTGCTGCTCCTCCTCCTCCTCGTTATCCTCTTCTGTTTCCCCTCCTCCTCCTCCTCCTCCTCCTCCTCCTCCTCCTCCTCCTCATCGTCATCAGCATCAGCATCAGTATCATCAGCAGCAGCAGCACCACCACCACCACCACTATCATCATCATCATCATCATCATCATCATCATCATCATCATCATCATCATCATCATCATTATCATCAGCATCATCATCATCATCGTCATCACCATCACCATCACCACCATGATCATGAAGATGTTCATCATCAGCGTCATCCACATCATCATCATCATCATCATCATCATCATCATCATCATCAGCAGCAGCAGCATCGTAACATGCATCATCAGCATCATCATCGTCATCAACAACATCATCATCATCTTCATCACCACCATCATCATACTCACAATCATCAGCAGCACTACCATCATAGTCATCATCATTGTCACCATCACCATCACCAGCATCAGCATCAGCATCAACACCAGCCTCATCATCATCAACATCATAATCATCATCGTCATCATCGTCATCATCATCATACTCATCATCATCATCATCATCATCATCATCATCATCACAACCATGATCATCATCATGATCATGATCATGATCATGATCATGATCATGATCATCATCATCATCATCATCATCATCATCATCATCATCATCATCATCATCATCGTCATCATCATCCCCCTCCCCTTCCCCATCGTTATCGCGCATCCCGAGGCGCCAGGGGTATCCCACGAATCAGGGAGGATAATATGACATAGCACTGTTGGTGAATCTTCCTGTGTCGACAGGGCAATACGCAAGCAACAGGTAAACGCATCGAAACACGAAATCAAGAGTTTCTGCCTATTCAGACGCGTCTAGAAGACGGGCCCATCCACCCTCTCTCTCCTCGTCCTCCTCCAAAGTGGGCGGGGAGGGCCAGGGAAAAGGGGCGGGCCCGCATTTGGCCAACAACTGCTGGCGAGGCTGTTCTGCGGGCGGCCGCCTCGAGTCCCTCCGCGGACAGCCCACAGGCGGCTGCGACGCGAACCACCTCCCACCAACAGGCCTCGCCCCACGCCCCCAAATTCTCAACAAGGGCCGCTCGGCCGCTCTCTGCCACAGGAGACCAGCAGCGCGCGGGGCAGATTTGCCAACGCCTGCGGGGTGGGGGTCACCGCTGCCCGACCGCCCAACCACTGCGCTATTCGAGCCCGCCAAGAAATTGAGAATCTAGCGTTCTCTCCTGCTGTCCGGAAAGGGTCACGGTGGAGGAGGGACGAACGCAAGGCTTGGCCAAGATGATGGCAACTTCCCAGGAGTACGCCCCGCAAGCCATGCAAGAGAGCACGGAGGGACTCTCTAGCGGGGGGAAGCGAGATCCTGAGCTGAAAAAACGTCGGCGATGCGCAGACTGTGCCAATGTATGGCAGCAAAATTAGAAAGCTCGCTCTCGTCTCCGGGATTCAAAAGCTTCCTGGATGACGTAATGCGAAGGGTCGTCGTGGGGCAATGAGGACGACGACCCGAGGATTCCCGAAGAGGAACGGGGAGGGCATCAAAGTCCCAGCGTTGAGCCATCAAGACCTCTCCAATAACTGCCCACCGTGCGAAATCAAGGACACTGCTCCCTAGGCCCGCACATGCATCCTTGAAATCAACTGCGCCAAGATGCGCCAATAACCCGTGTTTGGCGCCAACATCAGCTGCGCGGTTGACACGCCAGTAAAATTCTGCAATCCGCCCAGCCTGCGCAAACAAAAAGGGAAGATGGTCTTGACATTGGTAGGTCGGGCGTCGGGTTCGAGCCTGGAAAGATTCCCCATGCGTGGCAGCGGGGCGGAGAACTGAAGTCGAGAAAACCACGACATTGACTGCCTCTACTGGAGACGGGCCTACAGACAGGACGCGGCAAGGCTTCCAGAAGACGGGCATACTTGTCAATAGCAAGCTCCCAGGAGACGGGCCTGCGCGCAGCTCCAAAAGGACTGCCGCCATCGTGGGGCATCATTCGCGCCCATCATGCCCTCCGCGCTATGGGGCAACGGGGGAAACGACAGAGCCGTCGCTGAAAATGTGAATTGTGAGGTAACTATCAGACGGCTGATTTGTCGACTTAATGCTGCATTCGTGATCCAACAAAGGCCGATTCACGACCTCGATATACATAGGGGAAAGACCCACCGTCGCCTTCTCAAGATCGCCTGGAGCACCGAAGCACAACGGAACAGCCGTGAGCTGCAGAATTTGTCGCGGTCGGCGACTAAGCGGGGGCGCAATGACGGATGGTGCCACAGAGTGCCTTTTCATGCGTTGACATGCCTGGCAAAGGTCGGCGGCGACTCTTCCTTCCTGGAGGTCAGCCAAACGCTTCCAGGAGATCCGGCGGGCCCAGCTGGCCTGCCCCTCGGGGCGGAAAGCGAATTCGCAGCAGAAGTCTTGCGGGCAGCTCGCGAAGCCAAACGACCAACTTGTCTGGGGGCCAAGTTGGTTCATGCAATCGCCCGTGCATCAATGACGCCGCGGTCAGCAGATGGTGCGCGCCGACCAACATGTAGGGCAGCCAGCAAATAAACGTGGGGTGGGCTCGCGGCGGGAGCCCAAGAATGGCGGGCCCCTCCGAATTTCGCAAACGGCCGAAGCCAACACCTGCTGCTGACATTGAGGCCCAGCCAACCTACCCACACTGCGCGCGCCCAAAAAACTATGACCTGGGAGTGGAGGTTCAGAGGGGCCCATCATGCAACCAATTCTCGTCGTGGCCAACTTGAGGCCCGCAGCAGCTTCCTCTGCGTCCCTGTGAACGCCGCGAACTGGTGCTCGACGCAGTTGGTGGATTTGCCGACCGCCGAGACCGGGCGAAGCCGACCCCGACGGCGCCGTGGCCTGAAGTCCTGCTAGTTGGATGTAAGCTGCATGTTTGCTGTATTGTTCCTGGTTGCTTGAGCTTGAGCAGCTGGATAGAGACCGTCGGGGGCACTTTTCGAGCCTCTGACCTGCCGCGGTCATCGCACGCCTTTTGCCTGCAGGAAAGTTCGCGCCGAGAGAACGCGCGCTCTTCTGCCGCCCGAATCTACATTCGCTCTACATTCGGTCCTTATCATTGGCGAGCTTGTCGGACGAGGCCGCGGAATGGGCCCTGCGGTTCGACCAGGCCAGTTCGAGGCGGCGGCGGCCCTTGGCCAGGGGCTGATCTGCGCCGCCTGACTGTCCACTTGAACCCGGGGCGACCCCAAGCACCGGGC